AACGTAACGATTATTTTCCGAGGAAAAAATAAAACTTAAAACGTAACCATTATTTTCCGAGCAAAAAATAAAACTTAAAACGTAACCATTATTTTCCGAGCAAAAAATAAAACTCAGTTAATAACGATTAAAAAGTGATTTTTATAATAAAACTTATAACCGTTACGGTCCCTGATGAAAAGCGCAGTTACGATCAAGGCATATCAAACAGGTAGTGGCATTAGAGCAAAAACAACAATTCCGTGTATTTTATTATTGCTTCTGGTATCGAAAGTGTCAAAAACTTCCGATTTTTTTCTTTTAAATCAAAGCGTGGCATGTGAAATACAAAAAAAAATAAATTAAAAATTAAAAATTTGAATTGGAAACAAATAAAAATTTTTGTAACTTTCTCTCTTAGTAATCAGCGGTTGTGCTGTTGAGTTGGGCGAATGTTCAAAAGCTGCTATTCAATCGCTTGTTTTGTATGGAAAAAGGTTTCACATGCACATAGATTTAAACAATTTAGAATTTTTTCGAGAATAAATTAAAAATATTTGATATTTTCGAGACCAAATAATTAAAAAAAAAAATAAAAAATCAAATCAGCTGCTCTACTGATACTACCTGTTCAATGTGCCTTGGGTGTATGTAACTACGAATCGGCTTGCGCTATTTTTTATATGATCGGTAATATCATTTATTCAAAAGTTTGGGGATTTTGTGTTTTGGGGATTCTGTGATACTGTCACAAAAAAGTGTGGGAATTTCGTGTTTGGGGATTTTGATATTGGAGATTTTGATTTTGGGGATAATGTATTTGGGGATTTTGTTTTCGGAGATTTCGGGGATTTCGTGGCTCTCCCGAAAAATTTAGCTATTGGAAAAGGGGCGTGGCACCTCCCCGGGATTTTTATACTGCATATCTCTGGAAGTGTTCATTCTACAGTACTGGAACTTCGTATGGAGGAATGTATATCTATGAAATCAAGCCCATACTCATGGACAGAGATGGGCACTACCACAAACAAGCGTGAGGTAAAAGTGAGAATGGATAAGTGTGTCAAATTCATTTTGCATGCTGTGGCGTTCTCATCGTTACGCTCTCGCTTAGTATACGAACAGGCGATACTTACGCTCTTTTAGCACCTGATAAGTCTCTGCCCATGCCTGCTCATGGAGAAAAATAGGGCTATTTGAAAAGGGGGCATAGGGCCTGCACGCGTACCGCCTTTTAGCTATCTTTGAATGTATTTATTATTATTTTATAGGTGTGTTTGTGAGTGAAATCATCCCGATTTTAACGACATTTTGAGTAGGTCTCTGGATGGTTTAGTTTCACAATTTAGCCTGCGAGTTGGCGCTATAGTTTAGTTATTACTAAAAATCTTATTTATGATCCGATTTGGCCAAAATTTAAAGTATGTATTGGTAACGGTAAGAGCAATACTATTGCATTGCTGCCAGGTGGCGCTGGAGTCGACTTATTACTAAAAATCGCCAAGTAAGAAAAGCTGCCGTGAATATCAAATTAAATCAACCTGTTGCACCATTGAGTATATCGAACTCTTCTGTGTTACGGTTGGCCCAATGGATGCGATTTTCCAATATTATTGTGCGTTTATGCTTTTAAAATATTTCGTCTGAAATAAGTAAATCGTCGTTTAATGTACAAAACCGCGTATCAAGATAATGCGCGTATGTGAGTTTGCATAATTTATTTTCTAGAGAGTAAAAACATTCATATTACAAAATAGTTGTGTTTTTTTATAAAGCAATCGCATTTCTGGCTAGTATGTTTCAGGACGAATGGATAAGGATTGAGCCAAGAGCTTGTGTGAGTAAATCCAATTTTTGGCGAAAAACTTCAGTTACGCGGTTTTGCAGAA